CCAGTAAATGCGATAGCACAGGTAGCTTAGCAGCACGTTGTAAATTTTAGGCGAAAAATAAGTAGGATATCTGTTTATTTTAATAATTATGAAAAAACATATGCAGTGTATAATATAAAAATGTCATGTTGGAATTCGTAAATGTAAAATGCAAGCTACGGAAGCTATTGTAGTGAATAAGAACACAAGTGGGGACAACCAAATATATTCGAGTACAAAATTGCAGTCACTTAGTAAAATCTTCATTTGCAAAATATGAATCAATTGTCTCAGATTTGATTGTTCCTTTGTTTACACACCGATCATTCTCTTTTCTCGTTTTCTCCTCTTCCATTTTCTTAACCTTTTGCTGCCAAGTATTTCCCTTTAAGTTGATGACACATACAAATTATATCTGTTGACATCAGCCGCACACCATAATACCATAAAATGTAATACTATATGATAAACAAATTAAATGGTTACGGGATGCCAGTCGGTTATCTAGTCAGAGAGTTGAAAGTTGGGTAACTCATGACCGAATATAGTTCAATTTAGGTGTTGTTGCCTTAAGCCCGGTTAATTATCACGTGATTTATTCGCCAATCGAAATGCGACTTACAGAACCTTAGTACTATGCCAAGCCAATAAAGTTCGACCGGTATGGTCAGCCTAACGTCTTTATTGGTCCTTTGTTCTCCTAGCCCTGCCATTTGAGTCCAGAACGCAAATAACAGCTTCCACTATGCCAATCATTTGTTTCAAACATACTTGGTTTATATACCAGCCAAACAGACCACATCATACATAAAATCGAAAATAACATTTGTACAAGATCTAGTCACGAAGAGACTGTGAACGTGTGAGACTGTAATTAATAAACTGAGTATAATTTAGGAATAGTAAATCGTATCGTAATAATCTATAGGTCAAAATAAAGCTCATAATAAGAGAAATATAGATAAACATAATCTATTTACTGAATGGTTATACAATAAGGATATATATATAACTCAACATCCGTAGTCAGACAAAAATAAGCTAAGAATATGTACTTACTTACTCACTTACGACTGTTACTCCTCGTGAAGGAGCATAGGCCAACCACCAGCATTCTCCATCCAACCCTGTCCTGGGCAATCCTTCCCAGCTTCTTCCAATTGTTATTCATCCTTTTCATATCTGCTTCTATTTCCCGACGTAATGTGTTCTTTAGTCTTCCTCTTTTTCGCTTCCCTTCAGGATTGCAAGTTAGGGCTTGCCTCGTGATGCAGTTTGACGATTCGCGTAATGTATGCCCTATCCATTTCCATCGTCTTTTCCTAATTTCCTCTTCAGCTGGAAGCTGGTTTGTTCTCTCCCACAAAAGGCTGTTGCTGATGGTATCCGGCCAATGGATGTTGCGTATCTTGCGTAGACAACTATTTATAAATACTTGTTCCTTCTTGATGGTGGTTATTTTATTAGTTCTCCAAGTTTCAGCTCCGTACAGTAGAACTGCCTATCTTGACGTTCGTATTGAAGATTCTCACTTTGATATTGGTTGAAAGTTGTTTTGAGTTCCATATGTTCTTCAAGTGTAGGAACGCGGCCCTTGCTTTGCCAGTCCTTGCATTAACGTCTGCATCTGAACCTCCTTGTTCATCGATGATGCTTCCCAGGTATGTGAAGGATTCTAAATCTTCCAAAGTTTCGCCATCAAGAGTGATTGGATTTGAGGACCTTGGTTTTCCCTTTGTGTATGCTGAGGCCTACTGATGCAGAGACTGCTGCTACACTGTCCGTCTTTATCTGAATTTTTTCATGTGTATGCGATAGGAGGGCTAGGTCATCAGCAAAGTCCAAATCGTTTAATTGGTTCTGAGCTGTCCATTGTATTCCGTGTTTTCCTTCAGATGTCGAAGTCTTCATAATCCAGTCGACCACCAGAAGAAAAAGGAAGGGAGAGAGTAGACAGCCTTGTCTGACTCCGGTCCTCACTTGGAAAGCGTCTGTCAGCTGTCCTCTATGCACGACCTTGCACTGTAGTCCGTCGTATGAGTTCCGGATAATATGGACAATCTTCTCAGGAACTCCGTAGTGTCGAAGAAGTTTCCATAACGTCCTCCTATCTACACTGTTAAATGCCTTTTCATAATCAATGAAGTTGATGTACAGTGACGAGTTCCACTCAATTGATTGTTCAACGATGATCCGTAGTGTCACAATTCGGTCTGTGCACGACCGATCCTTACGGAATCCAGCTTATTGATCTCGAAGTTGGGCGTCTACTGCATCTTTCATCCGGTTCAGCAAAACTCTGTTAAAGACTTTTCCTGGTACTGACAGTAGTGTGATTCCTCTGTAGTTTTCACATTTGCTCAGGTTTCCTTTCTCTGGAATCATGATGAGGTGTCCTTCTTTCCAGTCCATCGGCACTTGTTCCTCCTCCCAAATCTTTCTGAATAGAAGGTGAAGCATGTTTTTAGTTACCTCGATGTCTGACTTCAGTGCTTCAGCTGGTATATTGTCGGGTCCTGCTGCCTTCCTGCTCTTGATTTGTGTGATGGCCATCCTGATTTCTTCCGTCGTTGGTGGATTGACATCTATAGAAAGATCTGTGTGTGTTGCTTCCATGTCCGGTGGATTCATTGGAGCCGGCCAAATCAGGAGTTCCTCGAAGTGCTCTACCCATCTGTTCCGCTTTTGCTGAATTTCAGTGATTGGCCTGTACGAACATATGATGGGTAGGATAAGCAATGCACGCACATACGCTCATATAAAAAGTCAAGATTAATAAGCGAATAAATGTCAAGGTCAAAACTTGACTCAAGAAGAATAAATATATAGGTCTGTCCAGAAGCTACAATAACCTATGTGGAGTTGACATGGTACTGGACAATGCAGTGACAACATTACATCAGTATTAGTGAAGTTCAGCAATCATTTGGGTACAACGACAGTAACTCAAGTAGTTTCAATATACTGAAAGTCGGCTTCATTCATTTGGACAAACACTAGAAATATCATCACAGCGGTTTCCACATTGTATATCATTTGAGGAAGCTGGAATGAGTTTGTAAAAGTGGAGAGGTAGTTAGTTTATAAAATAGAGTAATTGAACGAAAGCTTATTAAGACTGGGAAATGTCGGTCAGTCAAGACTCCATTGTTCGGTCCTAGAGATGGTGTAGTTCAATGGCTTAAGACATTATCAAACTGCTCAGAACAAAAACTGATGGGATTCATCCTGTAATTTTCTTCTACTTTCAGTATAAAAGTGAGAGGAACCTCTTTAACTGAAGGGATTCCTATTGTTTACATTTCCCCTTACTGAACTGTTTCTCCTATTATATACCACTTCCGTTCACTTATTCTTAATCATTTATTTCGGGTTATACGCCTGTTTCTGCTATAAATGAAATTTATTTTCTAATTTGTGTGGTGTATAATTAGTATAGGTGTATCAGCATTTACATGTTCCGAGTAAAAAATAAAACTGTCTTAAAAATTAAATGGATTAAATGTAATAATAATTTCACTTGCAGCATCTAATGATTGGTTCCCAATGTTGAACTGCTAAACAACTAGACTAAATAGTGTTCTCTTATCACATTTCCATACTGAAGATTACAACGAATTTTCACATAATGGCTATCCATAACCTAATAAAATTCTGACAAGTTCGCTTTGCTACAGCAGTACTGTCAATTTCAAAATACTGGGTGATTCATCACAGTTCCGAAGTCAAATTTATTGCTCAAAACGTACTCTTAGCATCTATATAACAACAAGTGATTTTCCTTTAGTCGTAATATAAAGTGAATTGCGACTAGCAATCAGTTAGACCAACCGTCTTCAAATGAAGGCAGAATGTGGTATCAAATGCATAAAACGTATTTTATTATACTGTGGTGCGTGCTACTTATTTTGATATAAGTAGTATATAACGCGAGTTAAAGAACGTAATTTCTGGCAGCAGAACAGCGAGAACACAGTGGAATTTGTAAGAAACCGCATGAACAATGAAATGTGAGACAATGGATTGATGTTTGCAACGGCAACAGTCCGGTTTGATATGATGGAATGATATTTTGCAAATTAACGATTTACTATTGGTTTTCCTGTTTTACCAAGTAACTCTGTAATTTTGTGCTAAATACATTCGGTTGTCCCCACCCGTGTTCTGTTCACTACAATAATACTAGATTGTAAATAATTACGACCATTGCTTAAATCGATTATTCGGTGGTCTAAGGATTATTTTTCCAACCACTAAGTTGTAGGCATTGAACCCGCTATAAACAGGCAACTAGTATCATTAGTATAAACACAAAATGTATGTTTCAAAATTAAGTACATGGATTTATAATTATTGAGTTATATTTAAATATCATTGAATATAACACTTAACCCACCAAGCTGTTCCGTAGTTTACTAAATATATTACATTTGCTCAAAGTCCAGGAAAACAGACTGAATGTAGTTAGTAGATTTCTTGGTGCTTTTATTATTCAGACATTTACTTTACGAGTCCGCACTTAGGTTGATGTGAATATCTAAAACCATATAGGTACAAATAGTCTAACTACAAGAATTCCAAAGGTTATGAATGGAAACATCTAGTATGAAATAAAATAAACTACCGAATAATTTTGACTCACATGTTTCTAAAACGTCGTTTAATCCGTGTGTTATTGACAAGTGCATGAACACCTCTCGAGAACTATGTTTACTCGTATAACAAACGGATAACAATGGAATCCAGAACAAGCGTTTCGCCCTTATTCCGGACTCGTTAGTTGTATGCTCATTCACTTAAATGATCACATCGGGGTTCGGACCTAGTTCCTTTAGCTCCGAAGACCAAACACGTTATCCACTGAGCTACTGAATTTAGACGGCGACTAGCTTTATAAAGCTCTTACTAATTAAAATGTGCAAAAATACCAAATAATGAAAGAGATTGAATTCGAATAATATCTGATATATCTATAGAAATATGTATGCAACACATAATTGATCGAAGAATTATGTAAATTTGTAGTTTAAACCATTTATTTTAACTTCTCGTTCCCAAAACATTTAATATATACATAACTGTTTGTAAATTATCTAACAACTTTTAACAAAACTGATGTGAAGCTTAAAAATGTAGAAATGTTCAACTTTGAAGAAAAAACGTGTACAGAAATAGTAAAAAAATAGAATTTATTACTAAGATCTGAAAATATTATAGTGAGAATCACATTTGCTAGAAAAAAATTATCACATCGAGAGAATTTGAATCACAGTGTTTATCTTGTCTGGAAACAACAAGAGAACAGAAACGTACAAAAAAGCCTAGTTAAACATGAATAAGATCAGTTGAACTCATACCTATCAAATATTCTGTAACACGTTTCCACCTAGAATTATGTCGATCGGATGAAAAAAGATCTGCGGAATTCATATCTGATGTTGAATCAACAGAATTACTATCACGAAGAGTATGTTGTTCTTGAAGTGAACTAGAATTTAACTCTGTATTATTTTGATGAGTCGATTTTTTCAATCTTTCACCTATCAACCAGAACTTTTGAATAATTGATTTTAAACAGTGTATGTCATTTGATGAAGTGAATTGGATATGATCAATCCATTTCCAGGAATCACTGATGGAAATATCGAATGGCTGATTGTTGAGTGAACTATTCATATCACTTACGGAATTATTATGAGTATTTACTAATGAAAGTTGTCATTAACAGAAGTATCAATTATTTCCACGAATTTCGAGTCGAATCCGATGATAGTGTCAATGAAACGCCTCAAAACTTCATTAGGAAATTGTTCAAACCATGAGAAGTAAGAATTATTAATTTCATTTGTGATAACAGATGCGTAAACAATATTCTGAAATACAAAATAGTACACATTTAGATAGTAAAATATCGAGTAATACAGGTTACATTTAACTGAATTCAATAAAGAAAAACTATAACAAACACCTCCTGATTAGTTTGTTGGTTGGTATTCGATGACTAAAAGAAAAAATTCCATCTCATTAGTTGATTTACTTTGAAGTGAGTAACTGATTAAAATATATAAATATTAACACAAATTTATTTTGATTGATGAACTCATTTACTAGACAAAGATTCGTATCATACCCGGTTGTTCAAACTGAAGTAGATCGAACGGAAGATTCGGACCTATAACTTAACAATTGGAAGCTGAACACCACGAATGTATGGTATATCAAGCTATCTCGCTGGTTATCTTATTTATTGTTTTAGTTTATACGACAGATTATTAAGGCATTGAGAAAGAATACAAATAGCAAAATTATGGACTCATAGGAAACAAACTAGAATCTAGATTAGTTGTATGTCAGTGACAAGTTGTTAAGTTTTACATCACATATATCATAGGGAAAGAGATAGAGAGAGAGAGGAAATTAATGAGCAGAAGAACAAAGGAAAAGGTGGAAGGGAATGAAAGGTGTTTAATATCAATAGAAAATTAAGAAGAGAAAGAATGAACTATCTGAATCAGTTTGCTAGAGCAAAATACACAATTTCGATTAGTACCCTGAAGAAGTTGGCTGGACGAAACGTTGGAATCAGTTAAATTTCAGTCGCTGAGAATATTCCAAATATAATTTTCACATATAATGACTTCTCCATACTCGGCGCTCAATTACTGTCAAACTATTCGTTCTAATCTTGACGAATATTCGTATATAAATCCAACAGCTGTTGGTATATAATGTCGAGTCACGGAAAATCAAGCATGCACATCTAATTAAAAGCCTTGTACGGTATATACCTTTAAGAACCGTGTTTAAGACAGTACAGACATTGTGTACAAAGAATTTTTCAAAATAAAGTGGAAGTTGTACTGTTAAAATGCCCGAAGTGATGAAAACAATAGACATACAATTATTGTTTATACACACACAAACCAAATCATACGCAACCACACATTTTGTTTATATTTTTCTTCTCGACTCATTTGATCAACGCGACCAAGGGTTTCACCTAAAACTTAAAGAGCTCATACGTAATATACAACTTGATCAATAACTGTCACGGATAATTTCAGTTGACTTACCGGATCTAATGATGCTGATATCCAAAGAAGTGTATCATTTACAATATGTGACTGTGCTATAGAATAATTTTCATTATTGTGATTATAAATTCCAGTAGTAAACCAAGAGCAGATTGATAATTCTTCATTGTCATGATAATTAGAATTTGAAACATTTGACTGTACATATCTGAGTGCAACTGATCCCCAATAACGGAGTATCATAACGTCTACATTTTGATATTGTAAACGCAAACCGATTTCAGATGAAATATATGGTCTAGGAAAAATACAAGAAAACAGTTATGATATAACAGTAAAAAGGAATGTGTTTTTTGATCCTACACATGATGAACTAAATAACTAGAATCATTAGTCGATTGGGAACCTGATAAATAAATTAGGCGATAAACGGATCCCTAAGTAGATCATGTGTACACAAATACTTCAAGTCTGACCAACGACTAAGGTTTAAATGATGGGCCAAGACAATCATTTACTGAAACAAACTAAGAGCAGTAAGCACAGCGAAATCCAAGTAGAATCCAACCTTTTACATGTAAAAATAGTCCATAAATTTATTAAAGTCCGACATAAATGTCTACGCTTGATAAACAATCTCTGCTTAGTTTCACCTGGCATGTCAAATTATCAAACACACACATGTGCAACAATATATGAAGATACAGCGAATGCAAAGGAGTTTGGAGAGTTTAAACTAAAATATATCGATATTTAATTCAGAAAAAGTCTAAAACATATTCTAGGAACAACTTAAAATACTGTGCTGTGAACGTAATGATTCGGACTGGAGAATTAACTGAATGGTTGACAAGAGTTTAGGATTGTTCCAATAAATCAATAAAAGTGTATTAGACGCTCAAATAAACAGTTAAATGCAAGCAAAGTATACAACTAGAGCTGAAATTCTTTATAGTCAATTCCCAACAAACCACCAAACATGTATCAATTAGGTCAGAAATTAAATAAATGAACAGCGTTACAATTCGAGAAACGTTTAGTTTTACATTGAATTATATTAAATTGGTATATTAACGAAAAATAGTGCGCTTACTATCTGTCATATACTAGATACCAGAAGCAAAACGATGTGGATCAAAGTTGATTACTGATTTTGAAAAAAAGTGTTGCACAATATCTTCACAAACAATAGTTAGGATAAAAAACAAATCTGTAATAATGAACATATTCATACTTACTCTCCATATTTACTTGGTATAATTATCTCTGCTGAGTTGTTTGTACCATGCAACAAACCTTTGCTAGTTTGAGCAATTAATTCTGCAGCTCCAGCAACAGGTTTAGTGACCACTCCGACAAGACCACGACCAAAACCACCAAGGGTAGACAACAAGAAATTAGGAGTTGATTGACTGTCAACAGATGAATTAAAAATACTATCTGAGTAAACAATTGTATTGTCCATTGTTTTAAAAATGGCTTGTAATGGTTGGTCAGCCACTCCGGCTATAGCGCTCAGTAAACACAAACCTAAACTGCTCAATCCTTGTTGAATACCTTCACTAAATCCTTTAGGTGTATGATGTCGTCGAATATGATCTTGGTGTTGTTCATAATGAGGATCAAGAGAAAGATAATCCAAGTTTCTAGCTAAACTAGAGGCTATGCCACTGATAGACAACAATAATCCACTGAAATTAAATACACAACAAAGTATAAAGTGCTGAAATTTAAAAGGATACATCATAAGAGCATATAATAATAAATCATACTTATTTTTACTACTCAGTCGAAGTAGCAAAGTATTTTAATTAAAAAAACGTTATGAGCAAAATGCAACAAATAGTCGAATGAACTAAATAAACAAACGTTTCGCTCCTAGTGAAATTCATCACGTTAAAAAGTGCTGAAAATAGTGATATATATTCAAAAACTGAATAAATTAATGTCCTACGAGGTTACAGTCTTCCTGTTTACTTAAGTATTGAAGAAAGGTGATATGAAGTTCCAGAGACTTCAAAATGACACTGAAGAGATAAAGTGTTTACAGTCTTGTTTCAGTTGCAGAAGACTTTTTTCAAGGAATTCTGGAGGGCTTCTAACAGAAACTTACAACTAATTCAAATCTTTCTGATGAATTAATCCCGATTGTGTTGTATTCTGAAAAGGTACCTGAATGATGCAGTGTAAATGTTTTTTTCTTAACGTCCAAAAATAATGAAGTCTTTCTAGTTTGGTTAGTCAAGGAGTCCTATAATGTCCTCGTTGCACCCAGACTAACAACTATAAGTTTATAATAACAAATTTTAGGCACTTTAGTGGACATTTAAAAGTTTAACATATGACTGAGTATTATCCCTCAACCATAAGACTATTCAAGAACACTCTCAACTTGTGTCAATAAACTTAATGTATCTACGTTTCCATCGTTCAAAGTATACATGCAAGTCCTAAAAAATCAGTCTCTTCTTCCTTAGCGTTTTACGATTTATTGTCAGGATATCATCTTAAGATCGTCCCTGTGAGACTATTTTCCATTTAGGGAACAAAGATAAGTCTCAGGGGGTTTAACCTGGTTAGTAGGGAGAGTATTCCAGGGTTGTGATAGGATTAATGTATATTCTGTACAATAATGTTATATTACCTGAGTTTGCGTGCGTGTTTAATAGACAGGCCAAGTACAAAATCTCTAATGTATTTTTATGTTACATACAATTAAGCAAGTGTACAAAATTCTAGACTTCAGATGGCAAAGCAGTGAAATAGTAGTTAAGACGTCCGACTTTCATTCACTAAATCGAAGGTTCGAGCCACCCTCAACCTGATTCGGTTCGAGAAACTGGGTAGTACCATGAGCCCCCACACAGACTGTAACTCATATGATATATAATTGTAGTATACATTGAAAAAGGTAAGTAAAAATTGTTTATTTACCCAGTTGTTCGACGTGTAAGTGAACTAAGCCCTTGAGTAAGACGATATATAAATCCAACATTTCGATTATATTTCAATGAAAACGTAGTCGAATCAGATGCAACAGTACCGATCGACATTGCCACAGTAGAAGATGAGAAATCAATATTTTGTTGACATACAAATAGATTTTTATCAGACAAGTTAATCATTGTAACATTTTCACCATCATTATTCTCATCATCCTCATTTGATGAACGTAAATGTATTAAATCATTAAGACCATTAATCAGAGAATACAACAGACCAGTCACATTACCTAATAAATCTAAACTGCCAACTAACCAACCAGAACGAAATAACATTTGAGTAATATAATGCATTGTTAATAAATATTTCACTGAATTCCAATAAATTAATGAACCAGATAAAATATTTGAATCATGTTGTTGATGATGATAATGCTCAACATTATTAAGATACTCATTCTCAGTATTAATCAGTTTAAATGAAGTGAAATGTAATGGAGCTGAATGACAAGATAAATACAAACGTAACATTGCATGTAAACTTAAATTAATTTTAAATGAATCAATTGTTAATTGTCTACATAAGAAATAAGTTTGATCCATTGGTTTCAATGATGAACTAATTAAATTATTATTATTATTAATGGATGTATTGAATTTCGTTAAAATTTGTATTAAATTATTAGATATTCCAAGAATATCATAAATCAATGAATCTTCTAGATAAACATCTAAATTAGGCGGATATAAATAACAAGTAATGATTGAAGAAGAATTTGTCAATATACTATTACATAATTTATAATTTAACATAGAAACTGTTAATAATGATGATGAATTAAATAGAATTCGACAAATAGTTTTTGATTTTCTTAATTGAATTGTTTGTAAAATTACTGGGAAATCATATTCATTAGTCCATATATGACACCAATTATCTAATTGTAAATGTTTTAAACAAATTTCAGTAATAAATTGTTTATTTATAATAAAATATTGATTATTTAATTGAATATTATTATTATTATTATTATTATTGATCAATGTTGAGTTCCTTATCAGTATAAAACTTAAACTGATAATTGTTAAACGTATAAATTCATCTCGTGGTGGTAACAATTCATTAAATTTATATTTTGATATTAAATGATTAGATAATGATTTAGTTTTTTGATTGATTTTTCGATTTTCGATTGTTATTAAATGTATACAAAATTGATTGATAGTTAAATGAATTTTATTTAAATACTTTAATGAATTGATCAATGATAGTGTTGGTGATAGGAATTGGTCAATAGTTGTTCGATTAAAACTATTATTATTATCATCAATTAACTGTATAATTAAACCAAATGAATTTTCATTAGTTGAAAAGTATAATTTAATCATTAAATGATCATTGATTAATTGTTCTTTTTCCCATAAACCTTTTGTTTTATGAATAGAAGAACATAATTCTTTAAGATTTATATGAATAGGACATTTTTTTGTATGATTAACAATATCATCATTCAGCGGTAGATCTAGATTTAATTCAAGTATAGTAAATTGAGATGGATGTAAAAAATTTAAACATATCCCTTCTGCATTATTATTATTATTATTATTATTATTAATGTTACAATTACGATTAACTTTATCCATGTATAATAATTCTAATAAACATTGTGGGATAATTGATAGTTGTGAATTGACATAAATTTTATAAGGATACCAATTTGAAAATGTATTCTTCAAGATGTTCCTCATTGAATTACTGAATAATTTTGTCGTGGATAAATGTTCAGCTGATGACGATAATAATTGATCTAATAGTTCAACAGAGTATACAAATGAATTAGTACAATTGTAAATATGTATTGAAAATGGATTTAAATTTTGTAAAATCGAATCCTTATCTACTTGTATGATTATTTGACCTGTAGATTTGTGTTCTATTGTAGTTATAAGTAGGCTGGGGTATACATTGAATGCTGAATCTGTAGATATAAAAACATCGAGTAAATAACCCATTAAAAAAATATAAGTTAGTGTAATAAAATATTATCTATAACTAAGGCCATCACTCATTAATATCAGTTGAAATAAAGAATTTACATCTATGATTATTATAGAAAAAAATAACAAACTCTTAAGTTCTTAGCAATGTCAGTTTTTCTCAACAGGATAGTTTGATTGGAAAGCTTTCATTATTGTTGTAGACATCATCAATGCCCAATTTAAGTTAAAGGGTAGGTAGGATTTACAAAGAGATATAATCAGTATCCACGTATTATCGCTGACTTCTTATATGGTGTATAGTTGAATTTGGCATCTCTATTGCTTCGATCGTTGAAGATTTAAGACTTAGAATAAATGGATGAAAAAAGTTGTAAAAGAAGTCGAACTTTGGGTATAAAAATAATTCAACTGATTTTTAATGTGAAGATTGGTGTATATGGCTTGGGAACACACTTCAACGGCAAAGGCTAATAATACTAACCGGCTCGATCACCTCATAGGAAATATTTAATTTTATGTAATATAAGGTAAGAGGAATTTTATCAACTCAGATTATTAAATGCATCAATGGAAAAACTAAGCAAATTTGATATCTTTTTAGAATTACTGAATACATACTTTCCGAAACTATTGGAATCGACACTTGACTAAGAAATATTGGCATAGAAGAGAATGAATTTCGATTAATTATATTATGCGAAATAGTTGGTACTCTGTGAAGTGGAAATACTTCTGACCATTGTGATTGAACAACTGAAGCAAGTGTAATTTGCATACAATACAACAATTCTGTATTGAACAATGATCGGTCAATAGTATGGCTTAAATTCCACCATAAAATAGGGATATTATCGTTATTTCCTTTTGAAATTTCAATAGCTTCATTTAACTTCAATGCAGATATCTAAAATTTGGATTTTGTATAGAAAAATAATTGAATACAAAATAAAATTTACAATGTGAAGTAATTTTGCTTAATTTGCATTAAGGAAAAATGAACATGATAACTACGGTGGGACTATAATTTGTGGATGAGCTAATCTGGTTTAAGTTCGAATCTTTTAGATTTTGGCATGATAAAAACGACAACTCTAACTCCTAATTTTCACTGTTAACTAACTCTATATCTTAATTCCAATTCCTTACAATAATTTCTAACCATCTGTTGACTCTAGTAAGTGGTTAAAGTTTCTTGAGATCACCTTAATATCGCCCAAAAGTCGTTCGTAAATTTTAGTTTCATTTATTGATTGTTACATATTTTTCAATAAGCTTAGAAAGGTTAGATATGCTAAGGAAAAATCAATACTTTTGTGAAATTATTAAAATTACTTAATAATAGATTGATACGAGTCAAGGAACGATAACGAAATATTAAGACATTAAATGACTGTTTTCTTTAATTTAGGAACTCTTGAACAATGTAAAAATATCAACACACTGTAGCAGACTCATGCAGTGTTCAATAGAACAAAAATATTTAACCTTTTCCGTTTACTTACTGGGTCAGTGTTGGATATAAGAGTGTAATTTTCCCTAGAGATTTTGTTTTAATCATTTAAAGCTATATATATACATCTTCTGTGAACGCAATACTGTACCTCATCCCAAATTTCTGGATGGAAAAAGCGAATAAAGTAAAACGTATGGCTTGAAATGAAATCCCCAAGTGAAAGTTATGCTCTTATGTGCAACATTCATCCACTAAGTAATTGGAAAAATGTTAGATATTGCAAAGATATTGAACATTGAAGAGATGCGCTAAAAATTCACTTTTACATATTCCTATACCAATAATTCATCTACAACATAGATCTATACAAGCTTATTCTTCTTTCTAGACGTATGAATACTTATATGTGTTTGTCTAGTATTATATTAAATTTTTGGATATATGAACTGAGTCAACAATTCATTCAGAGATTGATTGTTGAGTCAATTCACATTCTACACAATTAATTTATACATCCAGCATACAACACTACACACAATTTACACTTCTCATAGTCTTATTCTTTTACACATGTGGCCTACTAAATTATTTTGTCAGAAATAAATCTATTCTCAAAATATTTCGTATCCAATTTCTAATATCGCTGTGTTCAGAGTATCTCATTATACAGCGAGATTATTCAAAAGAATATACGAAGTTAACTGGGATATGAATGAAGTAAGAATTAGATTACATTACAATAAAGAAAGCTTATAAAGTTTACTTATCATTATAAATATATTGCGATACAATTAATTGATTAAAACACCAGTAAAACATGTCATGTCTTTCAATGATAACATCCATACTAATTGTAATGTTTATTCTATGGTTTTATTTACATTTTTTAAAAATAAATCTACCTACCAGCTAAACAAGTCAACGTTAAAAAAAAAAACAGGAGGATTAGATTTGCGGTTTTTATTTATTTATTCAATCATTAGACAATGTAAAAATCCATAAGTCTATTGGTATAAAATAAGACAAAATGTATAGAGGAGAATAAAACATTGAAAACTGCTTATCACTTACTGGAACAATAGATAAATTGTTTATTTCCGTATTGTTAACATGTTGTAAAGGGATAATAATTGGTTTAAATCTTACTGGAATATAATCAGTAGGCCAGTGTTGAATATAAAATCTCGGTTTAATTGTAATAATGAAATTATTTGATCTAGTCAAAGTATAATCTTCATCACTACCATCAATATCATTAGTCATTTGATTGCTTGATTTCAATTCAACTGTTAAACATAACATTCTATTCTTAATTAAAATATTAATACTTATTGTACTATAAGAATTCGAAAAAGATAAACATTTGGGTTGATTGTTCCATAAGAATAAATCTACATATTTATCAATATTCTTTTTTCGGTTATCCTCTACTGATTCATTCGATGAATTCAATTGTTGTATGGTTATTGTTTCAGACCAAAATATTTCATTATTAAATAAAACACCTAATTGAAAATGACGCTGCACCGGAAAAGGAAAAAAAAGAAAATGAGTGAATGAAAAAAGCACATAATAATAAATTAAATAAAAGTTATGGAGTTGACACGAGAACTGATGAATCCCCAGGAAAACCCCCTGAAAAAGTCTCCAGAAGCTCAGAAGACTGAAAACGTTCCATTCAGTCAACAGGCAATAAAAATGTTATAGAAACATGAATGATAATGCGTCATATTTTGATTAGATAACTACTAATTTTGTCACTGAAATTATTATGTTTTCAGAAGTTTCTGAAAGACCAAAGTCATCCATTTTTTGCATATAAATTAACCCTGGAGCAAAGTTTCAACTGATACTCCCTCTTTATTTCTCTATTGTTCATGTTATAGTGTAGATTGAGTCTGGTAATACAGGAAGCAGGCAGGAAGTTACTAACTAGAGTTTAACCAGAAAACTTAGCAGAAACAAAATACTAATCAATAACTCAAATAAAGTAAATTATTATGGAAGGACGGAGCGGATATTTGAGAAGTTAGGGTTCTTAGGATTATTTAAAGGAAAACTATTATATATTATTCTCATCGTATAAATGATAAATTATTCTATTTTTATATTCCTCGTATCAAAAGATTATGTTAAACATATAAACTGTTGTTATAAGTTCCGCCTGCCTATAATTATCTTTCATTGATTATTCATCACCTGCAACGTTCTTTATCACTTTTGGCTTCCTACTTGCTGTGTGTTGTAGACTGACAATTATTGTATATAATCCTATGGATAGGAGTATTATCTGATTGTTGT